AAATCAAGACTTTGTAAAAGAGCATAATAGGACCCCTTTAAACTAGGTCTTGTTTTAAACATTTTTCATGAATTGTTCTTTGCATTCCTTCATAATTGTTTTAATTAATTAATGAAAAATGTAATAATGAACAAAATAATGCTTTTGATATTTCTGCATTAGTACTGAAATTCATAAATTTAGCTATACATTTATACAATTTAAAAGTTGTGACAATTTGTGACGATGTGACATTTATGAAAATTGACATTTATCTTTTGTCAACTTTCAATTTTTAGTTAAATCTGCCTTTATTATATAGTTGATTTGTGTCTTAATGTTTGCAAGTATGGTTTGGTTGTTCACTTTTTATTCAACTGCTGTATCACTAAAATATGATAATACTGGAATAGTTTGGAAGACAAAATTCACAACAAAAAGTTTAAGAAGGTTAGAAAATGGATTTGAAGCCAACAAAATCACAGCAAAAACTTTTGTATATATACACATACAAGAAATATGGCAGCCAGCAAGAACTATACACATATCATAAGAATAATTTATTGTAATATTTAGAAATATAGCACAGTTACATCTCTAAAATATAAAAGACTTTATGCTTGCAATAGTACTGTTGTTTTAAAGTTCATGCCGGTTAATCCAAGTCAGGGATTAGAGTTCAGTTGAGGCACACTGCATTTGAGAAAAAGTAGTCCAGGTTGTTCGGGTGTTTTCATGTATGTAAGCTGTATACTTTTATATAGAGTCTATAAACACTCAGATAAATGTTTAACTTTATATTAAACTTTATATAAAAATTTATTTTCAAAGATAAGAATAAAACACCAGGGAGGGGTTTTTCCAATACATCTTCAATACATTTTTAAAATATCATTTAAAAATTTTAAAAAATCATTTCAAATGATGACTAAATTAATAACACTAACCTGAAGCACTGTGAGTATAGTGATAAAAACAGCAGGAATCAAGCTTCTAAAATGGTTGACTTCTTTGTCACTTATTACTCAACAGGACAAAGAAGCCCCTCCGCATTCCTTTTGGTTATAGCCAGATGTCAGATTAAAAAAAAAAAGTCTTCTTATAAGACAAACCTACAAAGACATTACAAGACTTCTCTACGCAGATCTGTTGTCTTAGAAAACACAGAAATATGACATCTGCAGCCAGTAAGACAGAGTCTGTTAGACCCTATTCAAAGGTCAGAGTTTATTTAGCTGATTTAATGGCAATCATTCATATATATTCAGGCTGTTATCTTTGACTTCAACAGGTTTCATTCATAAAAGGCTATACTGGCACTGCATGCCTGGTTTAACAGAGAAAATGAAAGGAAAAAGCACATAATACGAGAGTGGGTCTGTCAGTGGGATTCACTGGAAGTCAGTAGGGTGTGTAATGAATGAATCTATTTGTTTTTCAAGCACTCCACAAGTAAATTCGAGACGGGGGTATGAAAAAAAGGCTGTGTCTGTGTGTATACACTGTTAGCGATTTCTGTAAATTACACAGTATTTAACTGTAATATGAACTGTACTTTACTGTAAAACAGTTACACAGTATGTTACTGTATTTTAAATAAAAAGTCTTTACAAAGAAAATGAAATGGTCTAATGAATTATTTCTTTTATGTTAAGGTTCATTGCGAGGATCAGTCCTGTCAACAGCAAGTGCTCTGCAAAATTCCAGATCAGCAAAGGAAGTGGGAAGATGGTGCAAAGGAGAAACTCTGGCCTGAACCCTCATGTGTCCTCCTTCATTAAAGGGTTTGTGGATTTCAGCTGGCAGCTTTGAAAAAAATAGTCCATGCTTCTTGTGTGTAACAAAAGTTTGAGTTCTTTTTGAAGATTCACTATCGTCACTATTCACTATTATCATAGTATGTTGTGCTTAGGATACATTTTAAGAATTTTACCTATAATAGTTAGAATAGTATGTAATATATATAATAGTTTGTAACAATGTTTTGTTTGAGTCTTAACTGAATCTGTGAAAATATTAAAATGTTATTGCAAGGATTACAATTGAACAATTAAAAAAATTAAAAGTTACACAGTTGTCATTGCTTATTTTAATAAAATAATTTAATTATTTTTTTTCTTGTATTTCAATACGGTCCTGAAGAAAAGACCATAAAATTACTGTATATTTTACAGTAAAAACTAAAAGTACAGTATACATACTGTAAATACATTTACAGCAAGTTAAATGGTACTGTAATTATTAATACAGTACTTTTACTGTAAGTTTAATTTACAGTAAGTTACTGGCAAACTGCTGCCAGTAAGTTACTGTAATTTCTACAGGACATTTTTAACAGTGTAGCTAAATTACGTCATCGACTGAGTTGTAAATCCATTTATTTTATCTGACGTGTAACAGTCAGCAGGAATATCATATCTGACCCTGTGTGAGGGTGTGTGTCCTGTTCAAAGTTGAAGCATTCCTAGTTAATGAACATAATGGTCTGTTTATAAAGCCGCATTGGTTTTCCTGCTACTCGTCCCGCACAAACACAGTATTTTTCCACCTTGGTTCTCAGTGCAGGGAACTGAGGCTGAGGCAATACAGCGTATGAGTGTGTGTGTGAGAGAGAGAGAGATGTTAATAAGCCACATTATTACAGCTACAACGGCTGCACACTGACCACATTGTATTACTTACACCCAATCTGAGACCAATAGCTGTAACACACACTGATATATTTAATACGTATTCTTTCATACACTAAATCCTTTGTAAATTACATGGAGTGACAATTAATTCTTAAAAGCACAGTATGAATTTTCCAAATCAGGAAAAGAGAAACTCTGATAAAGATGTGTCCAATGCTTTGATTTCTTCGCCCCAAACAAATGCCATTCAAAACATTCCGGTAAGAAGTTTTTGAAAGAAGTCTCTTATGCTCACCAAGGCTGCATTTATTTGATCAAAAAAGCAGTAAAACAGCAGCATTGTGAAATACTATTACAATTTAAAATAGCTGTTTTCTATTGTGATATATTTTAAAATGTAATTTCTTTCTGTGATGGAAGCTGAATTTTCAGCAGCCATTACTCTTTAGTGTCACATGACCCTTCAGAAATCATTCTAATATGCTGATTTGGCGTTCGAGAAACATGTCTTATTATTATCAATATTGAAAACAGTTGCTTAATATTTTTTGTGGAAACCTTGATAAATTTTCAGTATTCTTTGATGACAGATGAAAAGAACAGCATTTATTTGAAAAAAAAAAAAACTTACTAAACTTACTAAAATAAACGTACTGTCACTTTTGATTGATTGCAATCTTGATAAATATTTTCTTTATATCATATACTGTATATGGTTTTTCTGTCATATCATATATATGTATTCCTGTGCTCAGATATATAAAATTCTAATACTCTACTAAAATTTGTTCTAAACGTTGGTATGTATGTGTGTTTGTAGGATCTGCAAAAATCCACTAATGTGGTTTACCAGGCCCATCATGTCAGCCGCAGCAAGAGAGGGCAGGTCGTGGGAACCAGAGGAGGTTTCAGAGGATGTACAGTCTGGCTCACAGGTAATGCATGGACACACACACACAGTTATAACAAATACATAATGCAAAATTGAAACAGGTTTCAATCATGAAATCCAATGCATGCTTCTGTTTAAAAACAGGAATGACACAATATGTCAGGCTAAGCAGATTGAAATGGGAAATAATTTTACCAACCTGTGACACCTGTACAACAAGTTGGGCTGAACTTGAAACCCCAGGCGCTGACTATAAGGTTTTTCAACTCACTAGGTTCCCTTTCAAGGGAACTTCGAACTGCGTCCTCTAGGGGTCGCTATGGGGAACGCCTCGTCGTGACCCGTGTCTGAAGTATACATTGAAAAAACACTAACAGCACGTTGGCCGGCGACAGCCATGACGTCACTACCGGTGCGACTATAGTATAAATAGGCGGCGGGAGAACACATCATCCTCTTCTTCGTCTTCATTGACTGTTTTGTTTGAAGCGTGCATTTCCGTGGTAAGAGCTATCTCTATTCATTCATTATGGCGAGCACTAGCAAAGCGTTTAGAGGATGTGTGCATCTGTGTCATCGTTATTTGACACCCGATGACACACACGATCTATGCGTTGTTTGTTTGGGCGAAGAGCATGCACGTGATGTCCTCGAGGGGGCAATCTGCGTGCACTGCGAGCGTTTTTCAATGAAAAAGCTCAGCTCTCGTTTGTCTCTCTTTTCGAGGAAAGAGGGGCAGCCATCTGCTTCCCGCTGTTCAGGACCCGCCGCTGCTGAGGCACGGAGGAGAATGAGCTTGTGGGGATCGCAGGTGGATCTGACCGATGAGTTTAAAGAGTGGCTTTCCCTCTCGCGCTTGTCGGCTGTGGACGAGAGTGAGCCGGTGGAGGATGATGTTATTTCATTAACATCGTCTGATCCAGGGGCCAGTGCTCTGCTGGGTTCAGCCCAGGAAGAGTCTGAGGAGGGCGAAGAAGCTGAGGCTGAGCCTTTACAATATATATATATATATATATATATATATATACATATATATATTTAATGCGCTGGTGGTTGTGTGTATAATCCATCTGCTACCTTTCTTTGCAGTGTTTTCCGGGACCTGTGTGTTTCTGTCCTTTTCTAGGGTAGGTCCTCGGTGAGCACCCCCTCTGCTGGGTTCAGCAACCGGGTGCTCGACTT